TAATAACATGTTGTTATTATGTTTTTGTTAACCCCTAAAGTATTAAAATAATAGATTTATGAAAACTTGTATTATATAATCTTAAAATATGATATTGGAATAATTGACCAAGACTTAATATAAATATATTTAAACACTGCTAATTATATTTTTATTTCTCGTAATGTTCTATATACATAGTTATATAAATACCTAGTGCGATTTGATATTCAAAATTTTACCAAGTTTTTATTAGGTACTACAAATAAAGATAAACAAGTTAGATACCCACTACATAAGTGCAGAAAAGTGGGTCACAATAATCTAATTGAATTTAATATTCGATTCGGTCGGTTCTTGATATTTGAATGTATTTCATTTTTAAACTTCGAGTACCTGCGTATACAAATATCATCAGTAAAAATAAGATTAATTTAAACATTAATCGATATAAGTGCAAGTTTGTTGCAAGTTGTTTTGGGAAAATATTTAAAGAATAAAAACGAGGTATCCTCATAAGTCATAGGTTTTCATATTTTTTATCGCCGTAACTCGATCGTTCAACAGACGGAAAGAAAAAATATATTTTCAGTACGAAAAATTGTCTGTTTGAATTCCACTAGAATTTCTTTTTGTTCACATTTTTTATTTTTATTCATTTAAAATCTACATTGAGTTAATGAATAATAAGTATTTTCAGTGGCGCCGAAGTCCTAAAAATCTAGTAGGGCGAAAAATATTTCAAGAGGTCCAACATCTTAATATCGGAAAAAATGGCATACCGTGGAGAGGAAAATGGTCAATATGAAGTGGCCCTATCTTAAATTTTCAAAATATGTCGGGCCATGGCCCGACCTTAATATAGGGTTCGGCGCCACTGAGTATTTTTGTATATTTAATTAGTTGGTTTCGATAATATTTTCCATTTATCGGCTGTTATAAAAACGTCTATTTTTAAAGCGTTACAATATACATTYTATTTAATTAACACGTTTAAATTGACATTTGAAATTTGGATTTGTTGGTTTGTAAATTTTTGTGTGCTTTCGCTAATAGCTATTTTGGTCCGGACACGGTGACTTCACAAATATCGGGTAAATGTTAAATGTCAGTCGGATTTCCTGCCATCTGATACGCATTGTGGTCTGTTTATTTCGTTATGTTATTAGTTATTAGTTATTAGTTTTTCAGTGTTGTTATTGGTTTTTTGACATCAATTTATTTACAATTTTTCAAATGTACTGTAATAAGTTTTTTGAATTAAGATCTTTTTCAAGTATGATTTTTCAGCGACGTGTGTTCCATCGAGAATATAAGCATAACCTAACCGTCCTAACCTGTACCTACTCATAAGTGATATTAAGAATGCAGTTTTGGGCTCACAAGTAATATTCACTGTGTCTTATCCACCGTTATTATTTGGCGTGTTCTATAAACATCATTTAATTTCGAAAACAAAAAGTCAAAGTTATTACCCTAGTGTAAACTTAAGTGGCTATTAAGAATACGATGTATAGCACATTTTTATTTTGGTTTTATGGCCTTTTATAGTGAAGCTCTTTAAGAGGGTCTGTTGTCAAATTGCCGAGAATACCGTATTATTTACTGCTGCTGGAACAGAAAGAAAAATAAAACCAACTCCCTCCTTCTTCCACATCGCAATCTGACAAGCCTAAATAAAAAAGTACTCTCACTGGACTTGTAGAAACGTATGATTAAAAACAACATTTCGTTCTTACACAAATCAAATTTAGACGAGCAATGGCCCATAGAGCAATGCCTGCAATATTTTAAAACGAATTTCTGTACTTTATTTCAAAAGTTAAATTCGTTATAAGGAGGTACCTAAATAATTGATTAATAATATAATTTGTAGACCTTAATAATTAATAATTATTAGATTATAGATTTTTTTTAAATTTTTTTATTTATAATTAAAATATTTTTTTTAAACATTTATCAACTATATATATTTACAATAATTATAATATTCTAATTGAAATTTAAAATTTGGCATTTTTTAATTAAATAATGGATTCAGGCAGGTACTACGTGTCGTAGTCGTTATTCGCTGAAGTAAAATTATAACAATCTATAATCGTTATTAATATTGTCGTTATTTCTTTTGTAAGTAAATATATTATTTTTTTATATTCAAGACTTCGAACACGAACATGTTGTAATTAGAATGAATAAATAAAATATTATACAAGATTAAAATTACGTTAATTAGTKTGCAAATTATTGTGCTCATTCAATTAATTACTTTATGCGCCATGTACAACATCAAATTAAAAAGCAAACAGGATCAGGGACCAAGACAATTTAGTGTTTCTAACTTGTTTCTTTTCGCTTAGCAAAAAGATAGTTTAGCCATGTATTTTATTTTTATTAAGTACAGTGATGAATAATCGCATTTAAAAACGATTCYGAATGGAGCCTATGTTACTATAATGGCGTAAGCTCGTCATAATAGAATGATTTTAAACTTAAAGTTTCTTATAAAATGTAAATTTAATACATTTCGTTATGTCTATGTTACTTAGATACGACTTATTTAAAATAATTAGTAATTATTTTAACTTTTAAGACTTTAGGATTATTATATCTTTTCGAATTTCTTCAAATCAATCAATTTTATTTTATGAGGATGCTCGTAGATGCAAATAATTATCTTTTGTTCTTCTAAAGTATYAAAAGTTTTCCTGTAAGTATTTAAAAAATGAACTCCTTAAAGTGCATTAATTCTCTCTAAATTAATAGCAAATATATACTATGGTCTATGGAAGGAAAAAATATCATTGTGTAAAACTAATTCATTCGTGGTACATTCAGAATAATTTTGTAAATTGTATCGTTTAATGTTTATAACAGATTCGCATATTGTTTGACCAAAATTATTATCCAAATTTGGTGATTTATCATCATAAGTAATAATATCTTAACCAACGAGTACCTTTTTAGAATTTGGTCGAACTTGAGAATTAGAAATAAAAATATTAAATATATGTTCCCACATGGTACGGTGATTATAGCCATGGAAGTATATAATAATAGTTACAGTCAATTCAATTTTTTTTAAATTTATGTCTATAATTAAAACACTTCCTTTCAAGTTTATCAAACTAATTTAAACGTTAGTATTATCATTATTTTCATGTTTGACAACAGTTAATAATAAAGTATTGGTATATTCATAAATACGCTGACTTCGAGTAAATACTGATTTGGCCGAATCGTTCAAGTAAATATAGGTACCATCTGGATTTTTGAATAGAAATATGTTTTTCTAGACCTTATCTCAACCGAGAAAATAAATTGCTTCTTGTGTATATAAGTAATGCACTACCTCAATGAACAAACCGGGATACAGTGTAGTGTAGTGTTCAGTACCCATCTCATGTTGTTAAATTATGCAATGAAACGTGGATTGGAAAATCCGTGGTAAAACACTGTCAAAACTGTTTTGAATATTTTATGCGATTTCTATTTTATTTTTTCACCCTACCACTTTTCTCTCTATAGCTACAGAAAGAGAAATGTGTCGAGGAGCCGTTCATTTTTGTTATTTCATGAAGGGCGACAACACGTGCTCGAGAACGACGAGTTTACAAAAAAAGTACCTTACTACTCGGGGGGTGAATGTTTAATGTCGCGTCGCAGTGCCATACTTTCTACTAGTTAGAACGACCATTTCTTCTCTTTTGCCCTCCCCTTTAACGCCTACACAAAAACGTCCTTGGCTAAACCTACATCAAAACTTCCGATCATGGACGTGCGTAAAACTCGACAGCCGACGATCCTCATGGCGTGATATATAAAAAAAAAGTTTTCTATACCTACTATATTGTTTGCACTATGGACCATAGACTTGAACTTATGAAGGATTTAATATTTAATGAGCTCCATCAGAAAATGACCTATATTGAATTTAGTAGGTCCGTTAATAGTTATGAGTTGTATTATATTGTAATATCAGTTGCTTATTGTTTTTACTTTATATTTATTGATACTGTAATTGGTATAAATTAATTTAAGTGTAAATTAATGATTTATCCGAAAAAATTATTTTTCAATTGAAAACACTTATGCGAGAGAAGTGGATATAGTGGCAGGGAAATATTTTATCCCGGTGAAAGTATTTATTATTATACTGTTCTACTATTCAAAGCATAAGAGTTAAGATAACGTAGACAATAAATTGTGAAATGAAAGATAACCAGGAAGATGTATATTTAAACTGTATGGAAATATAATTTACGGATTGCGTATGGAAATAAACAGGTTGTTTCTGAAATGGTTGTGATAACTAGAATATGCGTACTCGGTGTGACCCAATGAAGATTTTTTTGAAATTATTTTCAATCTCCAAAATCTGAGTTTAATCATCTTACTTTGAGAACATAATCTTAAATGTGAAAATTAACACTCAAGTTGTATTTTTTGCGAAACTCTCTTACAAATCGAGGTGTCACATTATTTTTACGTTTGTCGCGCGTTTTTCACGCTCGAATCGCTGACTATAAACAAAAATGGTGTGACACATCGATTCGTATGAGAAAACTAAAAGGTAAACATTGTTGATAGTTATTTGTTTTCATTTACCTTAAGTATATGAAATGTTTATCTTATCGAGTCAAGATAATTATGTTACTGTGATATCCAAAAACTGGAATTTCACTATAATTTTTTTTTTTTATTTAAAAAAAAAATTTACAATC